AAGTATCCATCCATCCATCCATCCACCCATCCAAACATCCATCCATCTAGCCTTCCATCCATCTATCTATTCATCAGTGTTTCCAAGCATCCATCTATCCATCTACCCTTCCAAACATCCATCCAAGTATCCATCCATCCATCCACCCATCCAAGCATCCATCCATCCATCCATCCATCCATCCATCCATCCATCCATCCATCCATCCATCCATCCATCTACCCTTCCAAACATCCATCCACCCTTCCATCCATCCATCCATCCATCCATCCACCCACCCATCCAAGCATCCATCCACCCCTCCTTCCTTCCATCTATCCATCCACCCATCCTTTGACAAATACTCGTTGATGGAATTTCTCTTTTTTCCTGCTGTTATTCTGGTTTTTTCTCTCTTCCTCAATAATCTCCCCCCCTCCCCCACCCTTTAAAACAACCCCTCTCCTGGCCAAATGAACAGCTAAAGGACCACTGTCCTCTTGGAAAATCTAATTGCAGATTCCACGGCTTCGCTTTTTCTTAAACACGCTCCGTACATTTTGAATTCGCTGTTGACACCAGGAGTGGGAATTCTACATCTGATAAAAAATCGGGACCTGCCCCTGAACCAATTTATTAGCAAAACTTCCTTTGCCTACAAAGAGCGAGGGTGGGACTTCTTTTTTTAATACAAAATATATTATATACGCATCATAAAATTCATTCATTTACCACGCCAGCTTCGATTCAGGGAACAGAAGAACAATTGAGCAGTGAAGATTATTTACAAGATTCCACTGCAACGATCAAAACTTGCAGAAACGTTTTTTTAATTCGGTTTTTCTTTTTTTTGCAAAAGCAAAAAAAAGCATCTGGTTAACACAGTGTGCCTTGTCCAGGAAACCTAGCGGACGGCATGATGCTCACAATTGTGCGCCCAAATGTTGCTCTTGACAGCAAGCTCCTTCTTCAAAAATGACAACTTCCCAACCAAATGCGAGATGCTTTTCCTCCACCCCCCTCTTATTATTACTGTAATTAAAAATTACACTCGTAATACGGAACCTGGCAATCGGAGGGATTTGCTTCAGGAAAAGCAGATGGTTGTGGCAAGGTTGTTTTGAGATGATTTGTCATAAGAATTATTTCTGTCTGTGTTTGTGGTTTTTTTTTCTTTTCTTTGCTGCTTCTGTTCTGTTTAATACAATTAAACCTGCTCAGAAATGCTGCTTGTGGTGTTGTGCAATGTGGCACATGGTTTACCCCAGAAAGAGGGATGAAAGAATGAAGGGCTATAAACAGTCTTAAAAGTTCCCTATGGCTCAAGAGGCTTGCAGTAACTTTAATTTGTTCTTTATTGATAGATTTTTTTCCTGCTCTCTATCTTTCTTTTCTCTCATTCTCTTTCTCTTTTTTCCTTTTCTCTTTTCTCTCATGCTTTCTTTTCTCTCATTCTCTCTCTTATTTTGTTCCCTTCTCTCTCTCTTCTCTCATAATCTTTATCCTTCTTTTCTCTTGTTCTCTATCTCTTTCTCTCTCTTTTCCTTCTCTCTCTTTTCTCTCATACTTTCTTTTCTCTCATTCTGTCTCTTATTTCGTTCCCTTCTCTCTTTCTCTTCTCTGTCTTTTCTCTTGTTCTCTCTTTCTGTTCTCTCTTTCTGTTCTCTCTTTTCTCTGAAATCTGTTTCTTTTCTCTCATTCTCTCTCTTTTTCATTCTCTTCTCTCTCTTCTCTTCTCTTCTCTCGTTCTCTCTGTCTGTTTTCTCATTCTTTCTTTCCTCTCTTTCTTTTCTCTTATTCTCTGTCTCTTTTTCTCGTCTTCTTTTCTCTCATACTCTTTTTTTCCTTATCTCTCATTCTTTTCCTCTTTCTCTCGTTTTCTTGCTTCTTCTTTCTTTTCTCGTTATCTTTTTCTGTTCTCTTATTCTTCTTATTTCTCCCCATTCTCTCTTGTCTCATTCTCTCTCTGTGTTTTTCTCTTCCCTCTCTTCCTCCCTTTTCTCTTTCTCTCTCTTCTCTTCTCTCTCTCTCTCTCTCTCTCTCTCTCTCTCTCTGTTCTCTCTCATTCTCTCTCGTTCTCCCTTTCTCTCTCCTCTCTCCCCAATCAGGCCTTTTTAAACCAGCCTTCTGACACAGCTCAATTTCTTTTCCTAATCTATTATCAAAGAGTTGTAAAATTCCCCCCTCCTAGGCCATGCCATTGTTAGGTAAACCCTCTCCCCCACTTCTGATTATAAAGTCTGCTCCTGTCATTCACCAAAAGAAACCACTGATAATGGAAAATAAAAAAAACACACACACCAACAGAACAAATGGAAGCACGATTGAAGCCACGCTCACTTAGAAAACACAGTGCTGGGCTCCGTTTTTTCCCTCCCTCCCTGCATTCATTCATCTGCCGTTAAGTGTGGCGCTCCTGGCCTTAACATCCCCTCTTGGTCTTGGGGAAGGAGAGCAAAAAAGGCAAGCTTGCAAATGTCCCACCTTCCTGCTCTCTGCCTCTTCCTCCTCCTCCTCCGCCTGCCCTGGTTCGCATCTCCTGCCAAGGCCGCTATCGTCTTCTGATCAAATATTAATGTGTGATTCTCTGCTTGCTCACCAATTCAAAGCCAATTAATATTATCTGTCAATTATTTACAGATCCTGAGGTGCGGAAGCAGTTCCCGGAGGACTACAGAGACCAGGTTGGGCATGCATAATTATTTTTTTACACGACAAAATTCATTTGCCGGGTGGGAGGGAACGGGGTGGGTGGGTTAGCCCTCTCAGGGTTGTTCTCCCCCACCCCTCCTCTTCCTCCCCTCCCCTGGAAAAATCTGAGCAAAAGGAAACCCCCAATTTCTTACAAGATCCTCATCCACCCCACGTGTGGATGGGGGAGCCCGGACAAGAAACTTTGTGGAGGGTCTCAGGGCGACCTTCCCCACGTTAAGTAAATTTCTTGGGTGGGTGAATTTCACCTCTCTGGGTTCAGCATGTCACATGGGGGCAGCCCCCAAGCCTTTATGGATTCAGGGGGCCTTGCTCCTTGGTCCCCCCCTCCCTTGAACCTGCGGCGTAAAGAGGAGGAGGGGAGAAGAAGGGCGCCTGAGCGTGCAAAACGCCGTGGGAATTGTACAATTAGTGCCTGCAAGGAGAGGTGAAAAGCAACCGTGTGTCCGCAGGACCTCAAAGCTATTTCCCTCGGCGGTTCCCTCATTATAGAGCAGTGCAGAAGGAGGAGGGGGGGTGGAAGGTGGTTGTGTTTTCACACTGCTTGTACGCTGAGCCCCACTCGCTGGCTGGCTTCCTCTAGGGAAGCAAGCATCACCTGGTGGGGAGAAAGGAGCTTTCTCTGGGCCCGCCATGGCAACTAGCAAACACTAGGCAAATTCATGTTTAATTGTTACCCAGTTGGAAACACTCTCAAGAGGGGAAGGGGAAAAAAAAACACGTGGGTGCCAAGCCTTCGTTATCCTTTCCTGCACACCCATACACCCTTTTTAGGGATCTTTTCCCTCCGGCAGAAGGGATCTCTCTTTCCCTGCTGGCAACCGTTCCCGGCGTACGACCCTTGGGGGCACCTTCTTGGCAAGGCCGACACTTAAGCCCGGGGCCCAACTTCTCAATGATGAATATTAATTATTATTATTTTTTTTCAAAGCAGCATGCCGCATGGCAGTTTTCTTTCTTTTTCTTTTCTTTCTTTTGGCGAGGTTTATCGTAGCCCCTTCTGGCTGCTTCCTGGCGTGGCGTTGGGGGCCGAGCTGCAAAACACACAGTGCCCAAATAATTGTTAATAAATAGGTCCCCGAGTGCATTCACCAGTGTCGGGCCGGCATGCGCCAGGAAGAGCTGGGAACCCTCTCTTGTGAAGTGCAGCCAGGTTAAAGGTCCCTCCGGCCTGGAGCTGTCAGTGGTGGCCGCGATCGATGGGTTATAAACCTGGTTCTCCCATGAAATATTTTTTTCCCTTTAGGAAAACCACAGGCAACACCTTTTTGTCACACCTTTGAGACTGATGAGGTATAGACTAAGGTTGGTATGTAGCAGTTAAAGGCACCAGGCTAGAAAATGCCTGCCTGGCTGGCCAACCTTTTGAACTTCAGAGACCACCAAACTCATTATTTTAAATCCCGAGGACCAGACACCCTGGGAAAATCCCCCCAAAAGTCTGCAGGAAAATTCCCCACCCCATTTTCCTACCGATCGATCGTTCTTTATTTGGGATCGCAGGATACCGTCTCCAGCTCTGTTCTCAGGGGGAGAGAGAGAGACTTTTGGCTTCATGCAAGGAAAGCAGCAGAAGCAGCAGAAGTCTTTCTTTCTCTCCCCCAAACTCCACCAGAAATGAGTCTTTGCTGGCTCAGCCTCTTGGAGCAGGAGGCCTTGCAGGGTCCCAAAGACTCATTGCTGGCGGAGTTTGGGGGAGAGAAAGAAAGACTTCGGCTGCTTTCCTCGCGTGCAGCCAAAAGCAGAAGAAGAAAGAAGCAGCCTGGTGCCCAGGCCAGGCGTGTGGGGCAAGTCCCCCCTCTTCCGCCCTTTCCCTCCTCCCCTCACTACCTTGTGTTGTTCACAATGCAAGCGGTGCAGCCTTGTGTTCGATGAAGTCGATGCTATGATCTGTGGCTTTCATGTGTTGGACTAGTGAGGAAGTGTGTTCCAGCTTTTTTACTGCATTTTTGTGTTCATCCAGGCGGGTACTTATTCTTCCATTGGTCTGTCCAATGTATGTGGCTGGGCATGATACACAGGGGACTTGGTTTTCCAGGTCAATTTTATCTTTGGGGTTTCTTAGGATGGCTGCTATTTTTCTGTCTGTTTTGAAGGCAGTCTTGATGTGGTGCCTGTGTAGTATCTTACTGATTTTGTCTGCAGTACCTCTTATGTAGGACAGCTGTTCCATAGGTCTGTTCATCTTCTGGGTCTCTTTTATGTTTCAGTGTGTTTTTGTGGATCAAGCCAGTGATTTTGCTTTTGTGGAAGCCGTTGGCTGTCAGTACTTTAGTCAGGGTGCATAGTTCAGTCTTAATGTGTGTCTTGTCTGCCAGGTGTTTGGTTCTGGCAATTAGTGTTTTGGGCACGGAGTTTATCTGTGCTGGGTGGTGGTGGGATTGGGCATTGAGGTAGCGGTTGGTGTTTTCTTCTGGTATATGGTGTGTCCTAGTGTGCTATCTGTTTTTTTGTAGATTAGTATATCTAGGAATTAGTTGGTTGTTATAGACAACAATCTCTCATCTCTTGATTGGCAACTTCTATTCACTGGATGCAATACTGTTGAAGACCATTACAACATATTTTTACTTGAAGTCAAAAGAATCATCAAATTATATGTACCAATAACAACTCCCAAAACCAGAAAAAACAAATTACCCATAACAATAAGGAAGCTTCAATCCAAAAAGAAATCACTTTGGCAGAAAAATAAATCTTGTCATATTGCCAACTTCAAAAGTCGATACAAAAATTTATGCCACCAGATAAAGACTGAATGCATCAATTATCACATTAAACAAGAGGAAAACCTTCTATGCACCAATTCCACCCACATTTTCTATAATTTTGTAAACAACAAACTAAAAGACTCAAGGTCCACCCCACCCCTGAAAGGACCTAATGGTAAAGACTGCAACGACAACACTATTAAACCCAACCTCTTTAACACATTCTTTGGCTCAGTATTTGTAAACAGCAATGGATCATGCCCAGTATTTCCTAATCGAAGCCCAGACAACTACAATGATCTCTAATACATATTGATTTTACAGAAGACAATGTTGAAAAAGTACTGCGCAATCTAAAACCATCTCTATCTATTGGACCAGACGGAAGATGTGCCTACTTCTTAAAAAAGCTATCCACTGCCATAGCTGAACCTCTAAGCATAATCTTTGAAAAATCTTTCAGGACCAGCTCCTTGCCAAAACTATGGTCGCAAGCCACGGTCATCCCCATCTTCAAAAAGGGAGACCCCAGCCTAGTTGAAAATTACAGACCAATCTCTTTATGCTGCGTCACCTGTAAAGTCATGGAATCAATTATTAACCAATCCATCATCCTTCACTTAGAGACAAATAACCTACTCTCCAATAAACAATTTGGTTTCAGGAAAAAATATCCTGTAATCTGCAACTCTCACACTGCAAAAACATATGGACTACACAACTCGATCAGGGCAAAGCAATAGATGCAATCTACATAGACTTCTGTAAAGCCTTTGATTCAGTGGTACACGACAAACTACTTCCAAAACTAAAATCTTACGGTACCTCTGGACACCTGCAGAACTGGATAGAAACATTCCTGTCAAACAGACAACAAATGGTCAAAATTGGGAGCGTCCTATCAAATTCTGTACCTGTCAACAGTGGTGTCCCCCTGGGGCAGTGTTCTAGGACCAACTCTTTTCATACTCTACATAAATGACCTCTGTGATCATATTAAGAGAAACTGCATTCTGTTTGCTGATGATGTAAAGCTATCCAACACCACAGACAATACTGCTACCCTTCAAAAAGACCTTGACTATGTATCAGAATGGTCAAACAAATGGCAACTTCAAATCTCAACAAATAAATGCTCTGTCCTACATATTGGCAAAAAAAAATCAGAAAATAAAATACAGGCTGAATAGTTAAGACCTTACTGAAGATCCAAACTCTGTAAAGGACTTTGGAATACTCATCTCTAATGATCTAAGTGCTAGAGCCCACTGCAACTACATAGCCAAAAAGGCATTAAGAGTTGTTAACCTAATCCTACGTAGCTTCTTCTCTGGTAATATCACACTACTAACCAGAGCATACAAAACATTTGCTAGACCAATACTCGAATACAGCTCATCAGTCTGGAACCCACATTACGTATCTGATATTAGCACAATTGAGAAAGTCCAGAAATATTTCACAAGAAGAGTTCTCCACTCCTCTACTTATTGCAGAATACCTTATGCCACCAGACTTGAAATTCTAGAACTAGAAAACCTTGAATTACGCCGTCTACGGTCTGATCTAGGTATGGTATATAAAATCATACATTGCAATGTCCTACCTGTCAATGAATACTTCAGCTTCAACCATAACAACACAAGAGCACACAATAGATACAAACTCAAGGTTAATCGCACCAAACTTGATTGCAGGAAATACGACTTCAGCAACAGAGTGGTCAATGTCTGGAATACTCTACCTGACTCTGTGGTTTCTTCCCCAAACCCCAAAAACTTTAACCTTAGACTGTCTACTATTGACCTCACCCCTTTCCTAAGAGGTCTGTAGAGGGCGTGCATAAGCGCACCAACATGCCTACCGTCCCTGTCCTATTGTTTATTTTTTTATTTTTCTTATATGTATCCATTTCATGTATGCATAACTATGTTTATACTTTTATACTTTTTATATACTTTTTATACTTTTTTATACTTTTTTAAATACTTTTTTATACTGTTATCTTATAATCGCTTGACAAAATAAATAAATAAAAAAAATAATGATGGTGAGGATGTTTATATTTTAACACTTTGGACAACACGCCGTTCAATATAGAAATGGAATATATGATAGAAAACAATAAAGACTCTAGACCATTTCAGATAAGTGACGTCCAGTCTCTTCTTAAAAACCTCTAGTTATGGAGCAACCACAACTTCTGGTGGCAAGCAGTTCCACTGGTTAATTGTCCTAACTGTTAGGAAGTTTCGCCTTAA